GGGACCCATCCCATCATCTGGCCAACCCCGCCCTCTCATCACCCGGCGGCCCGTGGTCCGAGGCCAACGAAGTCTCGGGGGGGGGGGGGGGGGGGATTTCTAGAAGATTCCACTTTGCCGGTCCCAACTGTAAGGGAGGTTCCTCTTTGGGGGGGATGACGTGGAGGGAGGGGGGCAGCTCCCAACCTGCCCTTTTCTGCCCGGCTCCAACTGCCCGGCCTGTCCAGGCAGTTGCTGCTTCCTGAATTTCCATTGTTTCCGTGGAACAGGGTGAATAACTTAAGTTCGCCTTTTTTTTTTTTCTTTTTTTCATTGGATACCTTTCTCAGATACTTTTATGTGGAATGTACGTGTGCATGTATGCATATGTACATAAAAACATGCGTATTATATCTACAACTAAATATGCTATTTTTTTATATTTACGAGTTATATATATATATATATATATATATATATATGTGTGTGTGAAAACCATCTAAGAGTAAGCCATTTAATTTTCAATAACCATTTAATTTTCAGTAACCATTTAATTTTCAATACCACTCACTGTCAGTATAGAAATGTAGTTTTAAAAATTAAATTTGGTAAGTAAATATTTAAATTAAGAATATATTACTTTTTATTTTAAGAAAAATAAATAAATAAAAAGAAGCTACAAGATTGAGTTTGTTCTTTGACTGTGTTACATGGTCCCAAATAAAAGCAGGTAAAGAAAAATAAGGTAAAGAAAAGAAAAATCTAAGGTAGTCATTGGAATTGAGATCTTTCACATTGCAATAGTATATAGGTTTTGTTTTAAAATAAAAATAATTCTGGAAAATAACTTATGAATTTCAATGATTATTTCTTCTTTTGTTTTGATTTGAAGACACAAATTTTCTCATTCAAAAAAGATGTAAAAAGTATAAATCTAATTAGTCGCCAACTTTGTATTATAGAACTAGAATATTTCGTGGTTTAAATTAAAAATTATTTATCTTTAATAATTATCTATCTTAGAACACATACGTCATGTAAAACATTACTTTCTATAGTAAATCATATCTTAGATTTATTTTTAGGTAATATGTGTTTAAAATAAAAATAAGTGAATGAGAATATTATGAAATTTGATTAAAGTATGCAAAAATTAAAAATAAATTAGTACAAAGATTTTTTCCAACAATATTTATTACCATTCTTAAAACATAATAATATTAAAGAAATCTTAGACAACCAATATTTTAATTGTCATGCATTTGTTTTTAGTTCAAAATATTTAAATAAAAGCAAATGTTTGTGTCACTATAGATAAACAATGCAACCAAAAATTATATTTTGAAAAACATTTAGGCTATTAATTAACATGTTTAATGTAGTAAGAAAAAATCACATATAAATTTTTATATTAAGTATTTTGATTTAAAAATAAAAACAAGATTTAAAATTTTTATTGTAATATCATATGTATAAAAAAAATTACATACACATATTAGTTATCATATCTATTTTATTGCTAAATTATATAAAATCTAATAGTTGAATATAATTTATTTTTTCTTCATGCATTCAATTCCCTTTACTTCTATAAAATGCTAAAGTGCCAATAAAAATACTAGTAAACATAAAAAACTTAAAATAAATATTTTTAATCATTATTATTCATTTTATTTTAAATAGTAAATATTTAAAATATAAAATTTTAAAAAATGATATATTTAACTCTCATTATAATTAATTTTATTAAAGTCAAGTTTAGATTATAATTAATCTATTTTTTGGTCTCAATTTATACCACCAAAAATAACCTTGAACGTAGTTAATTAACTAACTATCTAGTAAACCATCTAATCACATGTCTAACTTTAATATATATATATATATATATATATATACATATTATAAATATTTTATTATTAATTGTTAGATGTTTTATAGTGTGCAATAGCCTTTGGGCAACTGTTAGATTATCTTTATGACTTTTAGAATCATTATTGTACTCTATGCAACTTGAAAATGTTTGATTGCCAACTATTCCATCTCTTGTCTTAACTACTTGCACGTCAACATCACTATCTTTATTGTGAATGGCATCTTCTGCTCCATCTTTGTTTAGTTTAGCAACTAAAGCCAAGTTCTCTTGATTGAAAAATTCATCAACACCCATTGCATTTTCATTGATTCCAATAAAATCATCAAATTATTTACTCCTCAATGTAGGAGCTCATTGAATAGAAATATAATATCTACATGCGCATTTTGGAAAATCTTACTATCACGGAGATGTATATTATTGTCAATTGTAGCTATGTGTGAAGGAAGAAAGATCTCTATATATTTTTAGTAATTTGCAATCATTTTCTAATTCATTTCTCTTTATATGTTTTCAATAAATGTAATTACTTCATATAAGTTAATCTTATGTATATTTGTTGAGACTTAATTATTTGAAATGTTATCAATTTGGCCATAATGTGTTGAAGTTTTAGTTTCTTATATTACAACTTAGAATTGATAATGATTCTAGCATTGCATGGTTGCAAGTTAGCTATGGACTGAGATGGCAATAAATTCACTTAGACATGTAAAAATTCTAATAAAACTTTGTTATTTATAAACTAAATAAAAGCATTATCACAAAATATAAGAATATTTCTTCTTTGATTCTACATCTTTTAATTGAATAATGCAATTTATTTAAGAAAAATTATTGAATTCATTTATATAATTGTATTATGATGGTATTTTATTAAAAATTGTCTCAATACTTGAAATTACATGGATTTTTTTACTTTCTTATAAGAATTTGAAGGATTTTGTCTCATCTATCACTATTTACATCAAATAATAAATTAATTTGTTGTTTATTTTATTTTATTTTATTTTATTTTATTTGCAACTTATTACAACATTTGCTAAAGTTCAATTTAAAAGCATAAAATTTCATGAAAATTGAAGATATTGCATGGTGCATAAGCTTGTAGGACTTATACAATTTTTTCTGCTCCTTCTTAAGTTGCTAGTATAGACCACTTTTTGCTTCATCGTACAAGACAATGTTTTTTAAGTTATTTCTCTTTATTAAATTTGTAAACCATCCAACAAAAAAATTTATATGTATCTTTGTCAATTCTTAGTACTTTAGCAAAGTATTTTACTTTCAAATTTAAGAACAATATTACTAAAGTGAGGATTTTTTACTTTTGAGATTACATACCTAAATCATGAAGGCCTCTTCTAAATAATACTACTTGTTAATTTTAATATGTTTTGATATTTTTCCACATTATAAGATAATTTTGGTCAAGACTTCCTATCAAAAATAATCTTAGATATTATTATCTTATAGTACCAAATTTTTTTAATTAATTCTTTTAATATTATTTTTAGATTATCAATCTTTTGTTAATACATCTTTTTCTTGTTTTGGATTGTTAGTTGGACACATTTAAGTGGCATAATTTAAAATTGACATGTGGTTTGAAGAAAGATTAGTTTTGATTCAAAAAATAAAGATATAAAATATATTTTTTAATCTAGATGATGTCACCAAAAGCAAGTATAGTATATTACTAAATTTCAAAAGAAATTAAATATTAAATATATTATTCTAATCAACAATAAGTATTAAGGATATGAATCTCAAAGAAAGAGAATACTCAATATACTCATGTATTAAAGAAGGGAACTAAAAAGTCACTCAAAAGATGATGTAATATTAAACTAGAATGGCTATTGCCAAAAAAAAGAAGATTAGAAAGTCTTGAAACAAGACTAAGGACTAGAAAGACGTTGACAAGAGTGAGGAAGGCTTCATTCTTGCCTCTATATATATTCTTAACTAGGAGCTATGTTACAATGTCCTATGGGACCTCCAAAACATGTTGACTTTGCTAATCACATGTCTTAACTTGCAAGGCATGTTATCTATGTATGCACCACATAGTTAACTTATTCCACAAGCTACCAATATGTGGTTAACTTGTTGGCCAAGTTTCTATTCTATAAATACATCTAAAGTCAATACTACATCTATGAAGCTTCTATGAAGCTCATCTAGAAGACTTTATGAAATTAATCTATATTTACCTACTTCTATCCAATCATATAAGTAACTATTGATGTAAATATATATGTTCATGAGAATAAGTTAACAATATTCTTAATATATATATATATATATATATATATATATTAATAAATATATTATTATGTCATCAACAATAATATCATTGTTAATATCATTAAATCATTTATAATATTAAAATATTGTTAATATTAATTACATATTAATAATGTGATAAGAATCTTTGATATTAATAATATGAATCATATTAACAATATAAAGACTCATTATAGTCAACATTGATTGTATAGAATATTCTCAATTTCACTATATAATCAACATTTTTTTTGATCTTGAGAAGTTGATTGTAACAAAGGTTAATTTTAATCGACTTCTAAGATTTTCTTCCTTACTTTTTAAAGCTTTTAATGGATGACTTTTAGCAAGTAGCAATAAAATAAAAATAAAAATAAAAATAAATAAGAGGAATCCTAAATCATTTTATTTTTATTTTTAATGTGACTACTTTAGTAAGTTTAATGTCTGATAAATGTGCTCAATTTAAAACGTCTAGATAAAAAAAAAACGTGAATTCCTTAAAGTAATTACTTGGTTTGTAGGTTTTTGTCATTTGTATAAATCTATCAGCTTTTAAGATCTTATGATGGTCAATTTATTTATTTATTTTATTAATATTTTTATTAGGTTATTCAAATGTAGATTGTGAGGTAGGTTTTAAATTCTTTTTTTAAATTTGTATTAGAGAAGTTTCATATTTTTTTTAGAATTTAATCATTATTTATTTGGAATTTATAGAATTTAAATATATATATATATATATATATATATATATATATATTCAATTTTTATTTTTTTGGTTTACCTATTCTATGATAATAAAAGAAAACTATTCCAATACAATGGAAAGTTGTTACATTTAATAAATGAGTGATCACAACCCTAAACACCATAAAGACTGCTTACTTAAGTTGAAACGTGTATATTTTGGGTGCTTACAGCTTATATGTTTTAATGGAGAAAAAAACAGTGGAGTTGGTTGGTGGATCTAGATCGGAGGAGGAATGGCCCCGTTCGTCGCCGCTCATCGGCACCGGCGCCGCAGAGGGCGATCGGACCACGACCCAACCAAGCCCAGCTTCGGCTTCGGCACCAGGGGATCGCAACCCACATCTTCGAGAGCACTGTGGGATTTGTTTTTTTGTTTTACCGATGGGGAGGTCCAGAGGGCAAGGAATGGGAGAGCATCGATGGATTGACGGATCAGGCCCGGGCGGGACGAGTCTAACGTTCATCGACTGATCGGTCCTCGGTGCGGCGGCACCTGCTGCAGCAGATCAGGCACGACACGGATGCAAGACTGGTTGGTGCCGGGGATGATCTCGCGACATCGGGCGGTGAATCCACAACCTAGCGGGGTCTGAGCCAACCAAGGCTTCTTTCCATGCTTGTTGGAGTTGCAGTTCCAGGGACCATGGGATCGTGGCTATTCTATATCCTGAGTGATGCGGGAAAATAGTGTAAGAGAGTGTTGGAGCCCAGTTGGGCGATCGGCAAGGGGGGCTGCTCACTTAATTTTATATGGGTGAGGGGAAGTCCTTTCTTCAACTGTCTCTTCCATGGTGATCTGGATGGGGGCCATCTAATCCACACGGTTCAATTATTGGAACCGCCACTTGCTTTCCTTTTCAGTTGTCCTCGTGTTGTCCAGATTAAGATACATCTATTTTATGTTTGTGTATTTATATATGTTCTTTCTTCCTATCTTTCTCTTTCTCTTTTTTTCTCTCTCTCCAGATAGTTATACTAGAGGCTCCCTGGTGGTCAAATAATTGCGACCACTGTGTTGTTCCAGGTTTGCCTTTTCCTCCACAGTGACACTTTTAGGTCTGGAGAAATAAACATGTATTCTTACACACTGCTGCACGGATGGTTTGAAGGGTCGGACGAGCGCTGGACGGCTTCTAATTTATGCTCCCCACACAAGGGAGAACTTGTGGAGCACTTTAGCGCAGTGGGTTCTATGATGTTGTCCGGAGTCGTTCACCGCATTCTAATCATCCAGCGCATGAGTCTGCAGAGATTGCCTTCGATCTCACTTAAATGGTGCTACGCAGAAGAGGTTGGGCACCACAGCTAACCGCTCTAATTTAACACTAGGAAGCTCAGTGCTGCAGTAGGCCGTGAGGAACAAAGGCTAACGACAAGGGGTGTAACTTGCCAGACTCTGGAACTTGGTCTGCCGCGTTTGAGTGGGCAGCTCTGACTACTCGCTCATCATTTTGCGACAGAATTCTAACACATGTGTGGAAGTACCAACAGTGTATTTCTTACACACACCAGACCAGCCGGTGTGATGGAAGAATTAAAAGGAAACTTCGAGCTGGCCCTTACTGTGGGAATGGATGACTGCAGGGAACGAGGGTGTTGGCTGGCCACGAGAATAATTTTGTCCGACAGTGGAGCTACGATCCAAAACATCCAACATGCTAATTAATCTAGTACGGTGGAAGGAATTCGTCAGACGGTGGAAAAATTGGAATTCCATCCAAATCATGGGCTCAGGAGCTCAGTCGTCATGAGTGCGGACCCGAGAGAACGAAATAGATTAATATTCTCTGGAAGATAAGATCCTCGGGAGCCGGTGGGTACTATTCTGAACACACTACTTTACAGCTAACCGAGGAAGTGGTTTGGTGTTTTACGAGGTCATGCTATTGACTTTTAGCGCATGATCAAGGCTTTCTGTGGTTAGGAGCACAATGAAGGTTCGGATGGCGCTGGGGGTAGTGAATGGGGGAAAAAAACAAAAACGGCCAAACATTGTCTTGGAACTTTGGTCTCTCATGAATCATCAAGGACAGACGTGATTGCTGCATCTAGCATGTCTCGAAATTAATCTATTTGGCAATAAGTTCTGGAATTGCGGCTCAAAAGACCAGTTTTGTTACAAATCAGTGCATCTTGTGGGGGGTCTGAAAAACTGACACCAGTTCATAAGGTTCGGTGTCGAGTTTCAAAGCGGTGCGTTGAGTCGGTTGTTCAATTCTGTGTGACACATGGATTAATTACTGCTAGGTTTTAGTTTTTCTAGACTGTAAGCAAAGATCTGGATTTTCGAAGACGAAGATGATGAGAAAGCACACAACGAAAGCGACCTTAGCGGACGGTGGCGCAAAATCATTATTATTTTGGTGAATTCCAAGTTTGAACAAGAGAGCATAGCTAGTCGAAATATAAATATTCCTCGCTGATTAATTCCACCCAATCAATTTGATAGCGTAAGATGATAAGTTTGAACGAACCTAGGGGGAAGATCATGAAGAGAACTTGCTCCTTCAGATGAACAGTAGCTTGTTCTAATGTTCGACTTGACCATCTGAAATTTCCATACAACAAAAGGTTTCGGTGAGCCGTGGAAAATGCTTTTAGTCGCTCAGTATGCACAGTGCAGGATATCAATCTGATTCGTAAGCCTCACCCTCTCATCACCTTAAATACATTTAGATGTTAAGTTTTTATCTCAAACGTGTGATGCAAATTAATAGTAGGCTATTTGATGAGCTGCTCTTTTTATTATGCATCTATGACACAACCAAAATTTTGGATAAACTAATGCAGAGCAAAAGCCGGCAAGCCGTTCAGAACAAACTTCACTTTGTGTTGTCAGTCGTTCCGAAAACCTGTTGCTGTTATCATACACTATTTTAGAACAAACACATTGAAATAATTGGAATAATCAAAACGTGTACTTTACAGCTCGAACACAATTTTAAGTGCTTCTTTGACTAGTAATTGGTGTTAGGAGGTTAAGTAGCCATCCACTTGGGTTCTGAAAGAAAGTATGAGAGACGGTCCGAGGTGTATTGCAGAAGTCTTGAACAAGTTGCTGGCTAGCCTAAATGAAGTTGGCTTGGGTGCCTCATACTCATCGTAACACAGAGGAGAAGCAATGGGTTGTAGATTGCTCGAGCGGGGCGATCTCGACAAGATTGAACGGCTAACTTGTCGGTGTTGCAAAAAGCAAAAGTAGAACCGCAACCCTGGGGCGCTGCCATGGCTAAGTTAGAGCTGAAAACTGCAACAACTCAGGCTGGGACTGAGTGCATGCTATTGAAGACCTCGACAGCAACCGATTAATCTAGATCCTTTCATATCTAGTTGGTTCTACAACTAACCTGTAATTTCAAGCAAGGATTGAATTCGACGACGTTGTCTAGAATGCAAAAAAATCTGGAATTCCTGCATTACTGAATGAGTCCATGATCTCCAACAAGCTGATCGCTCATGTCAGTGTCGCGAGTTTGATTGCTCTTCGAAGTTGGTATCGGCAGCTTAGATCCTTCACTCAGCTGCAGGACGAAAAGAAAAGACTGCACCTGTCCCTCCGAGACTGCAAAATGCGTTGAGCTGCGATTGAAGCGGCAACTACTGGTCTAAGAACGAAGCATGGTTCCAATTTGTTCTTGTTTCTGTTTTTGGAAACATAAGGGTAGTCTTTTGCTGCTGAAGGTAAATTTTTATATCCTTTTGTGGATTACATAAGATGATGAAGCTATTATTCAAGAATTGGGATAGGAAATGCACACCTTAGTAATGAGGATGAAATTTCATTCTGCAGAATTCCTTCTCCTTATGACGTAATTAAAAATGAGAACAAAGCTTTTTAAAGTTTTTATTATTTGTTAGTTAGTTTGGTGTTTGTTTATATTTTTTTCCTACACACGTCGAGTATTTTCAGTAAGTAAGCTGTGCCATGTTGATTTAGGCCGCTGTACATAAACTTTTTTACTTTGATATTCTAACTCAGGATGTGGTTTCGTTGGGCCATGCCTGGAAAGATTTTTTTGCCGGGCCTGGTAAATTACTAAAGCTTTTTCCATTGTTTCATTTGCAAAAACCATCCTACACAGTGCGCACAAGACCTGCCACATGATTGAGGCTTGAAGAATGTCATCCGCCAGCCTGAGGCAACATGTGGCAGATTGGTATATGTCAAGCAGACTTGTGTTTAGGAGAATTCTAGTGAGGATTTCCTGCCATGGGAATTGCTTATAATGGCCAATTACAAGCAATATAGTACCAAAGAAATTCCAAATTTGGTTGATCTCATGACACTATTTCAAATAGTATTTGAGGGTTTTAGTAGTAGTCCTTGTTCAACCTTGGCAATTCCTTACGAAATACATAATCATACACTAGCTACATGTTGATAAATCACCTAAATTGATTTTTCAAAAGAAGGTTTGGAGTTTTGATGGCTTATTGGGATCCCAAATCAATTTGATGGCTTTTTTGGATTTTAAATCAGTTATATTAAGTCTCATTTTTAATATATGGAAGTGTGACAATTGGGATTTTTTCAACATTGCCACTTGATTTTTTATTTTTTATTTTTTATTTATAGAATATTGAAAAAACTCCATTTTCAAAAAAAAAAAAAAGGGAGTATGCACCATTTCTACTTTCCAAGTTCAAAAGGTAAATTATAGACTAAGCTTAGTAATAAAATGGAGCTCTTGTAAGTCAAGTCACAGTTGAAAATTATTTACTAAAAGTCTTGATTCTAGATCAGTATCCATACTTGATGTAAATTCCATCTCATTATTGTAACAATGGAGTCAAATAGCAAGATGTAGATACTAAGGGATGAAAAATAAAACAAGACGCCCTTATAGAAGCCATGCAATTGAATAAATTGTGTAGTCTGGTTACTATCATTGAGAATAGTGACCCATTTAAATTCTTGAAACATTGTTAATTGTGATAGGTTCTATGTGTTTGGTATAGCGGCCAGTATATCAAGACATCATTGGATTATATGATGATACCTAATTACATCTTCACTTTTTCATATTTTGGATTGAGCATTTTAAAGATCCTTTATTTGAAAGAAATTCTTTTGTATCTAGGTGCAATAAAAAAAAATATGCTGAATTGCTTAATATGCAATTCGAGGTGGTGAAGATTTTTGCATTCTAAAAAAGACAAAGTCCACCAATGGTTTTGGCATTGAATGGATGTTAGAAAATAAGACAATGCTTGATACTCTTCTAGGCGTTTCATATTGCATAATATACATCAAATCCCAAACCATGGATATACTTAGTAAAGAACATAAATTATATATAGAGTGGCCAACATCCTCCCCATTTAAGTTGTAATAAACAAGGTCTATATTGGAAGATGACCTTCTAAGATGAGTGGCCAAAGAAAAGGCTACAAATTATTAGTTTAGCTGGTAATGCCTTTATCTGAGCATTTGGATCTAAAATTTTTAAACTGCAAAATTTGTAAAGTATAATCAAAGATTTTTATGCAATCTTTTTTCAATAGTGTTTTTCTCTATTCTTATTGCTTTAGATATAATTTCTAATTAATACCCCCACTTTGTAGATGGAATAGCAATTAAGGCTCTAGCATGATGCAATGAACCAAATTGATGTAAATAACCTTTGGTTCATAATTAGGACTTTTTTGGCCAACATTAATTTAGTGGTGGCCTAATATATTAGTTTCCATTTAAAACTAGTCATTGTAGTCATTGAAAGACCTAAAAGCTAATCATGAATCCAAATCAACAACTCATCTCTATAAGTCCTAGCTACCAAAAATATTCTACTATATTTCACATAAATGGTCTAAGTTCTTGTAATATCTAAATAAGATAGGATTATCCTAGTTTATCTAAGAACCTTCAATTAATACAAACAAAGATAGTACTATTTTTTTTTTTATGTAAATTCTTCTTATTGCTTTTAAGGTACATATTAGTATTGTCTAGAAATTCTTGATTCATAATGCAAAAATCAAAAGTCTAGATGTCAGATATCTTATATTCTTTCTACACATTTTAAAAAGTAATCTAAGCAATCTGTGATAAAGAAATATACAAAAGGAGCAATCTAGCAATTTTAACTAATTAAGTATGATAGCTTAAAAATTACACTAATTTTTCTATTAATGTCCACCAAATACTAGAAGTTATTGTAGAGTATACAAATCTAGTTGATTCAAATCTTGTCAAAATCCATGGCTTCCATGATGCTTTCTAAAAACAACCATACCACTCTTTCATAATTCATTTAAAAATCTAATAAGAGCTTCTATGGTGTAATAGGTGACAATTGATAAGGAAGAAGCCTTTGCAAATTTAGAATGGTATTATTTTTTGTAATGTATGAAGTGGTTAAAGGAATATTGGTGGTAGTATCCATTATAATTAAAGTTCCAATGGCTTGTACCTCCAAAATTCTATTTGTAAAGTCTCTTCTTCTTTGATACCTAATTTTTTTTGTTAGCAAATATAATAATAAGTCTTTGTCTATGCTAATAAAAGATATTGGTTATAGCACAATTTTAATGAGTATTACATCATGATCCTTCCATGTACCAGATAGCTCTATGTCTACTTCAAATATGTAATTAGTATAGTGAGAGATACCAATCTTTTAAGGCCATCTCTTAGTTGAAATGTATACAAACTTTAAAATTATTCATATTAGTTTACTAGAGCTATGATTTATTAAAGTAAAAGAAGTCATCATTTGCCAAAATTTATAGTTGAATTATAATGTGACATACAATATTACTATTGACAAGGTTTTGTCACTTGTGGATCTACTTTGTCAAATTCCATCCATATATAGAGACAGTCTTATATATGAATCTATATGTGTAGAACAATTTTTTTTGTAATTGCTTCTAATAACTCTTATAGATTCCATCAATTATTTAGATGATATTGGTAGGAAGAGAAATTGAAGTCTCTATAACCTCTCTTGACATTACACTCAATTAATATTTTTGTGGATTTGAGTTGAGCATGTAGATAATTGATCAAATTTATAAATACTTGTCAATGTCTTTTGAGGTAGAAGAAAACTTTAATAACTCTTCCATTTGAATTTTAAATAAGCTAGACAAGATCAGTTTTTTTTTTTTTTTTTTTTTTTTTTTTTTTTTTTAAAAAAAATGGGGCCAACTAGTCTAGGCCTCATGTATATAATAATTTAGTTATTTTATCTTTTTTTTTTTTCAATTATTCTATATTCAAGGTCTTGAAAGAGAGAAGGCAAGGTAAGGTGATCCTTGCTTGAGTTTTGGTATCTAGCATATAAAGCAAAGGATGTTGATGACATCCAAAGTCTCTTTTTCTATTCTTTGTAATTCTTCCATCTTAAGATAGTTAAATGATAGTTTTTTTTGGATATATGATTTAATAATATGAAGTTCTATGTTATTTAATTGATTTTTTTCTAATGTACACAAATTCAAGTTTTTCAAAGGTATTTTGTATTAGTTCTAAACATAAGAAGTAATATAAAGCAATACCTTTGTATTTAATTTGGATTTCTATTTTTTTTAATAAAAAAGAAATTGATAGTATTATATACAAGGAAATTT